TTGTTTTGTTTTTTTAATAGAACCCAACAGTGAAAGACTGTGATATTAGCACAACCCTTGAGATTTATTTCTTTGGAAAAAGAGGAGAAAAAAGACTTCATTATAGAGAATTTCGAAGGTAAATGCCAATATTTTCATTTAAGGAAAATTTACAGGTAAGAAGTAAAGAAACTGAATCTTTTCATTTCCTGCAACTGCAGACCATAAAATTAAATACTACTTGTCAATTTCTATGGTATTCATCTCTGAGAACAAAACCTATGAAATATATAATTTTATTCAAAAATATATCTAAACTGCTATGAAAAGTACCATCTGTTTCATAAAATACAATAATTATTTTTAGTAACTTAGTGTTTGCAGCCCCTTCTATCATTTAGTTTCTTAATGTTAAACAAAGCAGCCTAACTTAAAACATTGATCATTTATTATTTCCATAGTACTTTGAATCAACTGAGTGGTCTTCCTGTTGGGGCTAGTAACTCTTTGGACACACTCATGCAGTTGCAATCTACTACTGAGTTGTCTGTCTGCTGGTGTTCCTAAGATGCCTCAGCTGGGAAAACTCACCTAGGATCCATATGATCTCTGATTTACTAGCTTAAGGGTTGCCAAACATCTTTTCAAAGGCCATATAATAAATTTGGTATCTGTCACAACTGCTCAACTCTACTACTATACTGTGAAAGCAGCCACAAACTCTGTTATCCAAGGGACATGTCCATGTTCCAATAAAGCTTTACACCAATGCCAGTTTTAAGCAACAGCTCATTTATGTCTTTAACTGTAAAATAGGAATGATGATACTTAACATAATCACTGTAAGCATTAAAATGAATCATTCTCCCCCCTAAGAATAATTCCATGCTAAAGGAGACAATGTGCCCAGATTCTTAAATATCAGCAAGCAGTACAGAACTGGGAAATGGGGGGTGTGCCAGGCAGAGGTAGGAAACACTAATTTGGAAAGTGGGAGAATAAGTGTGTCTTGTCCAACTCAATATAGTTCAAGGAAGATTTATTGAGTGCCTGTTGTGTCAGCCTGAGACTTAAACACCAGGGCTACACACTACAGAGGCTATCTAGTAAACATGAATAGCTAATGCTATCATAGATATAAAGGATATTTTGTTAACACAGATCATTTAGTGTACCTAGTTTAGAGGTTGAGAGGTGGTAATCATAAGAAGGCATTCTGGAGGGACAGTACACCTAAGCAGGATCTTAACCAATGAGGAGGAATTAGAAACAGGCAAAAATGGTTTGAGGGAAGCATTTAAAGGAAAGAGATGAGTATGAAAAAGAATAGAGGCATGAGAACATATGATTTGTAAAGAGATTTATAAGGATTTTAAGTCCAGAAGAATGGAGTACACAAGGTATGCAGTGAGAAGTGAAAACAAGTCTGGAGAAGTGTGTACATAACTTTATATCTGTAGCCTACCCCTACATGCAGAGTCTGAAATTGACCTGAGGATTTAATGACACAATACTTCTGAAGTTCTGAAATATACTTTTGAAGTATAACACATGGTAAGCACTCAGAATATGTGCCAAACTCAAATCAGCCTAAATTATTTTCAAAATCTGTTTCCCAGCTGTCAGATCCTCCTCTTGAAGAAATCTCTGACTGTCCTTTACTTTATGTTCTCTTTGCACTTTTGCAGCTATCTCATTCAACATTCCCTCTTCAGCTTGGAGTATCCTCATTCTCTTGTCCAAAGTTTTGGTTGCTCCTCAGTTTTACATCTAAAGGTAGAAAGCTAGATAGATTCAAAACTAAAATAAATAAAAGTTTATCATTTTCCCCTAGAACTGACTGCTTTGAAGTCATTTCTAGGATTTTCTAAGTTAGAAAAACACTGAATACACTAATTTTTCATCACAGATGGCAAATTTCTTTCCAGTTTTGTTACCAGTTTTTTTATTAGAAAATTCAGTATTCAGGCCCTCCCTGGTAGCGATCCACATGATGTGGCAGACCCCTCCTGACCCACCTGCTGCTCCCCTCAGGAGTGTACTTCATACATCTGCCTACTCTGTTCCCCATTCTGTCTCTGGTGAATCCTCTCACCTACTGCACCTCTGGCATGTACCCCATATAAATAAATTAATGTTAAAAAAAATCAATGAATAATTTAAAAGCTTTAAACATTTTAAAAAATGGAAAATTCAGTATTCAATAATC